GTCGTATAAAATATTAATGCTTGATTACTTACTAGTATATATATATATATATATATATATATATATATATATATATATATATATATATATATATATATATATATATATATATATATATATATATATATATATAAGGGTTGCAAAATATTCCATGCTCATTCACTCTCATTTTTCATAACACTGGTCAGAAAAATATTTTCTCCATTAGGTGAACTTCTTTGTTGTTTACTTGAATGATTTAACTGACCATTTTAAAATATCGATATTTCATACTAGCAAATCTATTTTGTTGATCATATATCAAATTCAATTATTGGTCAATCCCATTATAGTCGTAATCTGACCAGCTGACTCTAACTTTGATAATAGTCAAACATATATAGCCTCACTTATTATTTCTGAGAAAATCAGTCTAAAATCTAACAATCAAAGTTGGTTATTATTTCATACTTGCATAGTAATAGGCATTGCTTTATAATTTGGTGACTATTACTTAAATGGGTTAGTCTAAATTCTCATAACCATTGACTATAAAATGAATCTTCGGGACTAAATATAACTAGAGAGCTTGGTTGTATGATTTGTTTAGATTTATTCAACCGGAAGATAGTTATGATTACGGACTGATATCTGCAGAAGAACCTTTAAAAAAATACGGAGTAACAGTGTGGTTTTAAGTCAGAATTTCTGATTAATCATCAATACACAACAACCATTTCACACGCGATTCAACCACAGAATATCTGGTCACGTGGAATTCGGCGGTTCAGTAGTTTCAACTTAAGCCCGTAGATAAATGAGCACCGAACTAAAATAAAGCAGCTGACTAAAGCTCCTTGGTTTGTGACGGTTTCACTAACGACAACTACCTTCAAATTGGTTCACATCTCTAATTCTTCTGACTGGACAATAATCGTTTGTTCGTTAGTGATGGGTTTCGATAGGACTTTTCTTAAGTTTCAAGGGGAAGCCAATGACACATGGAATCAACTCAGTCAACAATTAGATAGCTGTCATCTATAGGAGTACGATATCTCTGGCTATGTCCTGAATTAACTAAATTTAGAGATTTGGGGCAGTAGATTTAGGCTCTGTGGTGTTAGGTTGTCGTAATAGTTGGAGGACAAGAAAATCCTTGATTAAATTCCGTATAGGTTACTTGTAAACTCTGTTAGTGAATTTTAAACAAAGATAGTTTAGTTGTATACAGCCAGCTGTTCTTCACCAGATCTCCAGTTTGTAGCAAAAATTAGCCTTAGGAGAAAAAAATTTTTATATCGAGAAATGAATGTCTAATTGTGCTTAAAGCCTAACTCTTTCATTTTACTAATTTCAAGATGAAAGCCGGTTGAAGTGTACGATGATGCTTAGTAAATGAACAATTCAGTATGTAAGTCCAAATGATAAAAATACATATCTACTGCCTGAAACTACGAAATTCCGTAGCCGTTAAAATTCACTTTAGTTCATAATGAAAGATCACAGTTATGAGAATACTATCTAATTATAGCGGAGCACAGTTTCTAAGCATTCATGTGTGTTATTCTAGTTTATGTGAAATAATTATTTATTTAATTATTAATTAGATGCTCTTGCTTATTAAGGTTCTAGGATCAATTTATGCAAGCTTTTTTTTTGTTATTGTTGGGTCGGCTTCCGGAGAACTTCAACGGAGCCTCCAGAGGCCCAAAAAGGAGCCGAAGAGTCCTAGCCAATCAGAGTATGATGGAACGTTCGAGAATTCCAGCGTGGCGTGCTACCATTGGTTGGTAGCATAATATGTTGTTAACAGATTGTCTGAAATATGATGTTGATTTAACAGACGCCAACATCTATAAATACCCTTGATTTTCTGTACAAAAATGAACCTTGGGATAAAGTACCTTCTCTCATACTTGTGTCTTCTCTCTGATGTTCAAGTCGCTGTGTAGTTCTAGTCTGCGGGTTTCGGGAATAGCTTAAGAATCGTATATAGCGTTCAACCTACACGACTTATCAATTATGAAAAGTAACACCTTTACAAAAACATTAGGCTACAATTAAATATTACTCGAATCATAATAAAAATGATTAAAACGGATCAACACAATTATAAACTACTATTCTAAAACAATCTATAATATTAATTAACAATACTAAGGTCAATATTATTTGTCACATTATCGTGTTTTTATCGAAATACACACAAATAAAGTTTATAGAATAAAATATATTAAATAAGATTTGAACTAACAGATCATAGATACAATAGAATTATCATATACTTTTATCATATTTTTCTGTGTTCACTTAAATTCTCTAGAATAAATCGTATCATTTTTGTTTGTTTCATGAATTGAAACAACAACTACACAAAAATTTGTCTAGATTCATTTTATTTAATTAATTCTTATTATTATGTAATTTCTTCCTGTTATACAGAGAGGTAACAATTTATATTAGTTACTTACCAAGTTGTATTAATCCATTGAAATATGGTTCAAATATCTAATGTTGACTGATCTTTAGTGGATAGAGTAATTATTTGTGAAATTGATTTTGTTTAGTTTGTAAATTTTATGTTGATTCTTAAAATAGATTAATACTTATATGATCAATTCTAATGATCTAACCTTTTAGCTATTTGAAAGTCGAATCCGAATAAATAAAATTAATAACTATACAATAACAAAATAACTATAAAGTTATGTAGTCCTATTTTGTGAATATTCAAAGTCGAATTGATCAGTCTCCATTAGTTTATGAGTGTTATTAAAAGATGAACCGAATTTACGTATTAATTATATTTTGAACAGTGACTAATAGTGTGATCCACGTGTGTCACATTGCTGTGATTTTCTCCAGCTAGACGTACCTGAATCCTAATGTTGTTATTCACAATCTGACTCTAATTCAGTACCTAGCCAATTTAAATGCCCAGATTTCACTTACCAGGCTACTAAATCATCATAACTATTAATATATTCAACGGATACTGTTAATTATGAGGGCTTGCGTTTTCCACTTTACACTGACGATTAGTAAATGATTAAGAGGAGTGGCAGTTAACAGAAAAATTAGTAAAAATAAATATACCTCGTGGATTTTGCATTATTGAGATGTTAGGTGGTTGGACGCAGTCAACAGGAAGCCTAGACATAAGTTTCGTTCTATTCGGGACTCATCAGCAAGGAATACCTGTAATCTAGAGGGAGTTGTTGTCCTTGGCGGAATCGATCTCGTGTCAACGAACCTCACAGTTTGATGTTATCAGTGAGTTATTCGAGTCACAACTAACCTTTTGTAGGGCTGAGATATTTACAACTAATTGATAACTGTGTATTTACTGATCAAGTTGCAACCTTAACGATAAAGTTCGACTACCACTAAAAAGGATTAGACAGACATGATATCGGCGACTACTCATTGAATAATTATTTGTATATACTTAATATTGTTTTTGATAGACAAATTCAGAGTTGATGTTAACATTTTCAGTGACAATTGCTCCAATTAAGCTTTTTGTTTGACTTGAAAAAGGAACAAAGCAAATAATGACCGTGGAAATATGATTTAAATGAGTTGTTGGACAGATGATGATTCAAATATGGAACGAATTGCCTCGATAACTAATAAATTTGTAGTCAATAACTAAGCACGAATGTTCAGAGGTTAAGCGTTCGTGCGACGGGCAGCCTGTGCTCCCCCATCAAGGGTAACAGGTGTAAGTATTTGCCGTCCTAAACTCAAAAACAGTCGATTTACATAGATTCGTCCTTCATAAATAATTTTTTCAAGAGGTAACACACAATGATTACATTAAACATATTTATTTACAAAACATATTGTAAAGAATATCATATGTCCCCAGTAACTTTTTATTGTTGGCCAATGCTTGCTGGTAAACTAATAAAGACCAGAATTGAAACGTCTCATCAACGTATACTCATGGTCGCATAGTAAATAAAAGAACCTAGAACTGTCAGATATTACACTAGTCATGATACCTTTCACATACTGAAATGCAATACAATAAAGCATTTTTTCAACTAATCAGTTGGTAGTCTACCATTCTTTGACTTCCCTAAAATAGGTTAAGATCATTTATGTTAATTTGCCTGCCGTGATTCAAATGAAACAAAACTTGTACATATTCTATGGTAATGCAAAGAAAATGTTCTGTAGATTTAATTCAAAACCTAATAACCTCGATCGATATTAATCGCACATTTTTATCTGTGTCGATTTCTAGGCTTAATTTTCTCAAATATATTTTCTAATCATTTTAATAATAAACAAAGATAAACCTTTTGTAATTTATTTGTGTTCATAGGATCTACAACCAGGCTGAATACGATGGAATTATTACGAATGTCCTGCTTACCAATGAGGAAATTAAAGGTTGTATAAATTTGAGAAAAGCTGTATTCATCATATAACCAAATGGATTAAAGTTATACATTTAATTGCATTTTAGTTCTAGTTTGTAATTAGTAGCACAAAACCCGTATGCAGGGTTTCCTGTCAACTACCTCCAACCACCATATAACCCCAACATAGTGCACGCAGTGTCGAGTCACCTAGACTGGTGGACACATTGCAACATTGTCGATAGCATTCGATCTGCACTAAGAAGGACTTGACACACATGACATTGATCACCACCCAGTGATCAATTAATTATGAGTAAACGGGTGTCTATTGACACTTAATTGTCTAAGCACCATTGAAAGTCCAGTCATCCGTCAATTTGCCACTGACCATGATAGCTACTAACCTCAATACCAACTGGTATATACACCAAAAGCATAGATTTGCATTAAATCAAAACAGTTTGCTTGATGAAGGTATTCGACTAGGTGCCTGGCTGACCATGGAGGTAGCAACTTGATTCATTAACATATATCATCAGCTGCTTATCTAACCACTTCCCCAGTCCTCAATCTACAAGTGACCAAGCAGAGAAAAACAAATCGAATAGATGTCTTACATATTCCTCTATAACACAATAATAACTCCACTTCTTGATAACAATTTATTAGCGAGTCAAGTCGTTGTTGCACATAAAATATAACCAAGAAAAAAAACGATATTTAGAATGCCAACTTTATTCATAGGACAGGATAAGCGAACTATCACGTTAGGATTGATTGAGAGAAAAAGCTTTTGTGAAAGAACAAAACCAGTACAATTTTAGTGTTGAGCTAGATCACCAGTACTCACCACAACGTGTGCTAAATATGTACAATTTTCAAGTGAGGAAAACGAAAACTTAACTAAGAGTACAGGAATTATTTAATTAATGACAGGAAAGAATTGATTGCAAATACGGCTATAAGTAAATAAATTAGAGTATTAATTCTATTATTTTACAACTTAAACGAATTAGTATTTAAATGATAAATAATCTAAGGCTGTCTTTTTCCCAACAAATGTGAAAATAAAAGAAGAGATTTAATCATCTTTAGGTACATTCATAAAAAGATAAGACATAGATTCATCATTATAAATACGTCTGATAGCTTCTGCCAATAATGGACTTATATCAACGGTACGAATTTTGTGACACTGCATTTTTTGTACTTCATGTGGTACTGTGTTAGTTACAACTACTTCATCTATACGACTTTCTTCCAAAAGACGTGGTGCATCTAAACTGAGCAGACCATGAGTTGCAATAACAAATATCTACAAATGACAATAAAATAATTTTAGAAAATAAACATTCTCCAGTTGAACTACACAGAGAAGGAAAAACAAGAGAAAGCCTTGTTCATAAATTCCTCAGTCTAATTTGTCAAGAACCTTCGCAATTTCATGAAATAAATGGAGAAGACAGTTATTTCACCCAGAGTTTCGACTGATTTTTAGCATCTAGAGAACCAGGATAGCTCAAAAGGATAGGTAGTGGTTGGGCATACGTATTACATACGGATCAACTAGGTCGATGAATGCTAACAATTTTATCAACCGACCTACCAAAAGCGTCAGATCAAAAACAAGTATGACCTGTCCATAATGCCAAAAAATCACCAATTTGTTTTCTGATAACTGCTGTGAAATTAATTTGTTACTTGAATATAATGTGCAGGAGTCCGCTTTGTATTGTTTGATGGAGGTAAAGCATGGACATGAAAGATGACATCTATATGGTGATTTTTTGTCACAGGCATTATTGGATTTTTGCTCCAGTATAGTGGTTAGACCGATTAAGCAATACTGAGGCTAAACATAGGGTACTAAAAAGAGAAGGAAAATCAGTTGACAAGGTTGTGAATCCTCATTGACTGAGGTAGTTGGAATATGTTTTACATATACATAGCTATCGACTACCTCGAGGTACAATAGACCATATACGAATAAGCGTAAGTCCATGAAATAAGTATTAGTCTGAGCTATATATTTTACGATCCAACCCACCTAGTTGAAGGTTTTTGCGATAACAGAGACAAATAGTTTGAAATCCTGAGTGACATGGTTCGAAGTCGATAACAGTACAACCGATACATCCACTCTTCCATTAGATCTAGAATCCAAGTGCTTCCTCATAAGCATCTTTTCACTGTATTTTCGAACTATATTTTCAGTGGTAAGTCTTCCTCACTACCATTGAGAATACAATTATTTCTACACCATTGGTAATCTTGTTTATTTCATCTCGTCGTGCTGACGTAGAATGGTAACTTGGCCTCAGGTACATTTGTGTTCGATCCTACGTTGATTCTGACAGAATGATTGATCTAACCAATAAACACCAAAAGTCGAAATTTAAATGCCTGATAAACCGTCGTTTTGTTAAGAGTAATCTAGAACTGATCTGATCAAGAAAAGTAACAGTTACGTTGTATATAAGTATGCTTGTTAGAATTATTGTATAGTGAAACATTTTTTATTGTACAATGTCACACATAAAAGGGGGGGTAAGTTGACTCCAAGTAGTTATGTAGTTAGCAATACTCCCTTACTATATTAGAAATATGACCGACACTGATATGAAAAAATTTAGTCGATATCTTGAAAAGACTCGATTAACAGGATCCTGGTGAATTTCTCTAATGTATGTGTACTACTTCATCTATATTTTAGCTTCCTAGGCTTTGATCAGTGAAATGCTTAGGCTGGTACGATTAATGTTGAGTTGAGGCCGAGGTAATATTAACTCCTATTGGCCCATCAATACACACTCGTCCTGAGTCTAATAAAAAAACAGACAAGCTTTTATTTATGCTTCAAGCACCCAATATATTTATCCCAAACACTCATTATTTCACATACATGATTATCAGACCGGAAAGCACCTCAATTAAGAAGTCATTGTTTACATATGAACGTTCCATAAGTATCAGAGGATGGAATAAACGTCTGATAAGTTAAGGAAAAACAAAACGTGTAACGACAGTTGATACATTCGAAGAAATCCCATAAAAAGGTAATATAAACATAGTAGTTCAGTCATTTAATAAACCCACAGTGAAAATATGAATAACAGTGATCTGAATAATCCCAAAAGTCCTAACTTACCTAAAACTCGTTTCGTCAAAATACAAGCTAACAAATATATCTTGTGATAGTTATTAAAGTTCGCTAACGTCTAAAGTTTCCTTTGTGAATGAAATCAAGAACACTTAAAAGACTAAAAATTGTAACCCCTACTTGAAAATTAAAACATATTATGCCTAGCAATTCTATAAAATTAGCGTATAAAATTACTTTTAGTGAGAATAACTAATAGCTGTCATAAATGTAAGGCTTTAGCCTTTAATATACATTGGTAAACTGTAATAAAAACTTACTTTATATGCACCTCGTTCATGCAGTAGTTCAGCAGCAGTAACAAACTTTGATACATCATCTATAATGTCGTCAATTATAATAGCGATTCTTGAATTCACATCTCCAACCAAGGTTAAAGGTGGTTTAGCTTTAGGTATCATCATAGGTAAAAGTTCAAGGCCAATTTGTGTACATCTACAGATGATAAAAACACTAAATTTATTCAGTGTTAAATGCGAAATGTATCCTTTATTTTGTGTATTCAGATTATCGTGTGATTTTGCTTTTATTACTCTACAGTCACTTCGTTTTGTGAAATAGATCTTGCAGGACCTTAATATGATAATCATTCTTGTGTTATAAATAATACGACTGAAAAGGATTTCAGTTTGAGATTGGATGATTAGAAAACAAAGCCTGAAGCTTAGATGCATATTTTGGCAACTCAAAATCTACTTCATACTTATTTACAGCTGGGGTTATTATTTTGGGAGATACTCGACCAACAGATTTAATCTAAATGGTCCGTTTTATCACGTATTACAAGTGTAAGACATGATACAGAAAATAAATGAGCTACATATTCAACACATAATAGGCATCAAAATAATACACCAGAACTTCGGGTTGACCAGTGCCAAACCAATTATGCACTCACTCTGATATCTTGTGGATTAACAGTCCCGTTAGAGATGGCAGAACTCCCAAAAGTCAAGCTTTAGCAAAGTTGACCACTCGATTGCTTTCCTTTAAACCCGTGGGTCAACTCGAGTAAATTCCTGAGTAAAACTTCCTACTAAACATGCATAAAACTCATGTTTGCAGTTACCCTATCAGTAAATTTTATTATATGGAAATTGAAATCAAGGTATGTTTTCAGCCACTTAGAACTGTCTACACCTGTTTAATTTGAAAATGCTATCCAAAAAAAGACCAGAAACCAACTAAAACCAGCCTACAAGGAGTAGAGATAGTTCACGTTAAAATAGAACTCGAACCGCAGCTGAGTTCGCACCACGGACTTCATGTCTATTGATTATTCGATGTCTTTTTTAGTAAAAATATCTAAACAAAGGGACTTTAACCAATACTTGATAATTTTTTTGAAAATATATAGTGCACAAGTCTATCGCATTGTCTGTGGATCTCTCATTAGTTACATTCGATAACTATTATGGTGAAATGGTTAGTAATAACACATTTTCTGCCCTAGTGAAACCATATTTTGTGACTATTCTAAGGTGTTCACATAGGTTTCTTAAAAAAAGAAAACCAATTCTATGCCAGTAATGAAAATACGTAAATGCTTTGAAATTATTTGAGTTCACTTAACTGTAAATATGAGGTTCATTTGCCTTTATATATTCATTGCATAACACCATAGTTTTATTTCAATCTCCACTTTACAAAAAGACAAAGGAACATGTATCGTATAAAGAATAAGTAATCAGTAGATTTTCTGAATATTTCGGCATAGTTACAAATATTGCAATGAAGAAGCAAACGCTTGCATAACAAACCTTTTTTCCACAATACTTTGATCCAAAGGTGGGGAATTGCGACCGTCAGTATTGTCACTTTCATCTCTTTCTTCGCCATGAATAACAACTAGTGGTAACCTCAAACGTTCAGCATAACTGCTAGCTCGAGGTACTACTCCGGGATTTCGAGCAACAATAACTGCGTTTCGATAATCAGTTATGTATGTTTCAATGTACTTTGTCAAAAACGGAGAAGCACGTAAATTGTCAATCGGAACATCGAAAAACCCCTGAAGATAGTAAACAAATAGATAACATTGTGGATAATTAGTGACAGGGAGTAGTAAAAATAGCTACGAATTGACTCAAAATAAGGACTATGTGGCATCACTCAAATTCAAAGAGATATTGAGTGCAAGTCTTTAATAAACCATAAAGTAATAGGAGTACTGATCTCACCCACTTATTAAAAACACTTGCACTCTTATTTATAACATTTAAAACAGAAAAATGAAAAGCAATTGTTAATAAATTGTAAGTTCAACTATATAATCTAAAACTAGAAATATCATCAAAAGTTCCCACCGAACTTCAATCTTTTTGATAGTTAAATGGGGCCTGTATGTTGTTCAGGATTTCTCTCTATTATGAGGAACAGGATTACACCTCATGATGGGTTAGCCTGTTCTCTATACAATCAGTCAGTCAATAACAACGTAGAACTTCGTACGTACGTACATCAGTTCGAGTTGCCACACCACATTAGCACAGAGATGCAGTGATCGATTCAAATCCCGTAGTGCTAGATGTAGTGAAATTATAAGCTGTGATCAGAAAAATTAGGGTTTGAATATGTTATTCAAGGAGTACAATCCAGTGAAATAAATTTGGAAAGAGAAAGGGACATAAAGAATTCAGAAGATTAGAATTTGGGAGAACACAAAGAGTGGATGCACCTGCGCCATTGCAAACGATTTTGAGCCATGTCATTCAGGGTCTCTAACCATCGGTTGCTATCATCTCGCGGTCCCCAACCAGGTAGTCTACACCTAACAATATGACTCAGTCCACTTGTCAGTGACTCCATGGACTTGTGCCGTGTTTTGGTCTGGCCGCCCCTAGCTTTCTTCCAACCTACTCTTACACCATAAGACACCACTCGTCGGGGTATTCGGTGGTTGGGCATACGTAACACATGTCCCAGCCATCTCAACTGATGAATTTTCACTACGTCATCAATTGATTTGCCATCCTTACCTAGTACCCGTTTCCTAACAACTGCATTACTTACTCGATGGTCCCAGGATATACAAGCAATATTTCGAAGACACTTACGATCAAATACTAGTAACCTACGGATTTCCTCTACTCTTAGCGGCCATGTTTCACTGCCATAAAGTAGGACGGAACGAACTGTTGCGCAGTAAACCCGTCCTTTGGTTGATAGACGGATATCTCGCCTACGCCATAAATGACGCAAGTTGGTAAAAGCCAGTCGAACCTTCTGTATCTGTGCTGAGATTTCGTCACACACCAGACCACAAGGGCTGATGAAACTTCCAAGATAAGTGAAGCGATCGACACGCTCAATTACTTCACTCCCTATCATTAGTTCGGGTGTCAATGCAACCCAATGCTGAAGCAACATTTGCATTTCGAGGGGGAGAATCGCATCCCGAACATGCTTGCATTGTTGCTTAGAGTGGTCATAAGACTGCATTTTGTCAGCGTCTTCACCAAATAAAACTATGTCATCAGCATATTCTAAGTCAACAAGCGAACCTCCCGGTAGAAGTTCAACCCCTGGAAATTTAGACGAGGAAAGTGTTGTCTCTAAAAGTACGTCGACGACAACGTTGAACAAGAATGGAGAGAGTGGATAGCCTTGACGAACACCACTTGAGGTAATCAATTCTGATGACAGTTTGCCATACGCTCTCACTCGACCAGTTGTGTTCGAGTAGAGAGCCTGAATAAGGTTAATGTACTTCTTTCAGTGACAAACACTGCCATAGAACCTTACGACCAACAGTCGAATGCCGCCTTAAGGTCAAGAAATACTACCATTGTGGGGCGTCTGAATTTGTGTCTGTGTTCTAGAACCTGACTTAGTGTGAATATCTTATCTATACAACCACGTCCAGGTCGAAAACCAGCCTGATTTTCTCTAGTCTGTTCTTCACGAGCTTTGGTTATGCGCCGAAGTATTATTGAAGCCAATATTTTAGACGCTATATTTGTCAAACTGATTCCTCTGTGATTGTCACAAGAGGACTTTTGTCCTTTCTTAAAAACTGGCACAATCGGTGATCGAGACCAGTCAGATGCGATTACGTCCAGTCCCCAAATTCTACCTAAGACCTCAGTTAATCTCACTCTAATACTGAACCACCATCTCTCTATACGTTAAGAAGGGATAACCTGTGGTGTCAAACCTTTTATATGGGTACTTCTTACACTGTATATTGAGATTTCAAAGATAATTATGGCGTTTGTCTAACACTAAAAATAAGCTTTAACGTCGGTATGGATACAAGTTTGCTTATTAGATATGCCTAAATCAGTTTAATATTTTGAAGTAATCTATTAATCCTTTATTGCGTGGACACTCCTGGAGTACCTGACAGCTAGGCCACTTATTTGAACAATAGTTAGGTTGCAGGTAAATTCCAAAATAAGCATATCCCAATGACTCAGTAACCATAGTCGATTGTAGTCGGAGGAAAACTAACCTATTAAGATGGTGGGAATTTGTAGCTCATGTGGGCGATTTTGATGGAAGTTTGATGCTGTCATTCAGAAGAACGACGAAAGCTGCACGACCAAACCATTGAGCTTAGAGAACGAAATTCCATCAAAACCTACCTATTAATAAAACACCTAGTAAACTATTCTAATAAATGATAACAACAACACTGACATACTCTTGAGACCTGAAACACTATTTCAAAACTGCAAAACACAATGACCAATCAAGCTTTTACCTGAATCTCTTTTGAATGAAGGTCCAAAGTGATCAAATGGTTGATTCCTGAAGCGCAGAGCATTTTGGCTACAAGTTTACTGGTGATAGGGCCACGCTTTCTTCTTTTGCTCTGTGTTGAGTAAGGTAAGTACGGTACTACTGCAATGACTTTACGAGCGCAAGCTGATCTGCATGCATGAGCAATAATCAATAGCTCCATAATGTCATTGTTGACATCCTTAGTTCCTGATTGTATAATATAGACATCTCGGCCTAATTACTAGGGAGAACAAAAAAAGAACATTACCCCTGACAGTTTCTTTAATCTCAACATCCGTCTCGCGACTTGATCGGTAAAATACTGAACAGTTCCCAGGACGAACGTCAAGATGGTGACAAACAGCCTTAACTAACTCAGGGTGAGAGTTACCAGCCAGTATAACCATCCCTTTAGATCTTAATAACCCCATACCAACTACGTTGCCACTTCTGTGTACAGAACGACTCACAGGGCGCATACTTCTACAGTACATTTCCGAATAACACCAAACCCATAAAACCGATGTCAAGTAACTTCTGTTAACGCTTCAGCGGTTTTGTCCACTGATGAAGGTTGGTAGCACTTGAAGGTCAAACCTTAGTGCTGTTACGAAGGTCGGTGACATCTTCAATATCCAATATCCGTGTGACAAACTAGCATGAGCACTTAAATTCTTTACATTACTATCTCCGTTATTCAAGGTTTGGGCAATATTCAACTATATTGAAGCAACTTTACATCTATAGTTCAGTTAAGATGAGTAATTATTATACGTATTTTAAAGGTATGGCTTCTCAGTAACAAATAATCATGTGGAAAATTGTGAAGGTTCGAACAAGTTTCCAAAATGAGTAGTTTCGTGACTTATCGACACTAATATTTACAACATTAGTTTCAATGTGCACACACCTAGTTGAAGGCACAATATCAAGCGTTTGTACGAATTCCCGGTGACATGGTAGGTACGCAGAGCTGTGTCTTGAGTACAAGCTTAATGTATTATAAAGTGGGTTGAGACTCATAATTTTTCATCCGTGAGCAGTTCTTTCGCCTACTCATGACAACTTTTAACGGTTTCACTTGCTATATAGTGCAGATGCCACAGGTATTTGGGGTTTGACAAAGCTTTAACCAGTAACACAGTATGAGTCGTACCCACCAAGTGAAATCAAAAAACAGAAGCGAGGAAGCTCGGAGATACATTTGATAGGCTATCAATATATCGAGGATCGTCTGATCTAGTCTGGCTAGCGATTGCAGGGGTTGTTTAGCACGGCGTTCCCACTCGTGGTGTGGTGCGTATGCATGATCGAGCGCCTTCAGCTAGGTGAGCCCATTAAAACTAATGTGGTCAGCATCCAATTTCTAAAACTTACAGAGCTATTTATTTTCGGGATTTGTCTACCACTACTGATAACTCTCCTTCCTAGTAGGGTAGTGATGACTCTAAGATGTGGACAGCCAGAAGTTTAAACCCAACGAGATCATCGTTGTTAAACACTCTTATGATAGCTTGCTGGGTTTAGCAGCGTCTGGTCATCTTTCCTTACTATAAGGGACCATGAAGTACAACGTAATAAATAAAAAAGTACAGTGAAAATTTTGGTTTTTCTTAAACTTCACCGTTCTTTTTACCGTCTTCCAGCCGTCCTGGAAAACAAAAACATATGCAAGTGCATGTCGAAATACACTCGTACGCGCGAAAAAGCACAAAGCAGGCGAAAAAAGGAAAATAAACTCATACGCACGTAAAAGCGCTAAAAAGTGTTTTTAATACGGTTTTTTGGTTTGCTTTTTTTCAATAGAAATAAAAATATATAAGCATATTAAAATTGGGTTTTTTTATATTACGTATAGTACAAAGAAAATTCGAGATTATATAAAATGTCAACTAGTATCTAACGTGCAATAATCGTTCAACTGTTCAAAAAATCTTACTCCTCTTCCAGAACGCTTTGTTTTAAGTTCATTTTGTGATACTGCTGAAGTATCATCGCGTGTGTTGGCTGTAGGATGAGGTATCATAAGTGTAGGAGCCGTGTCGTTCGGTTGTACGGAATGAAAATCGACGTGAATAGGATTTACGAAAAGACAGTTGTACCTTTCAAGGTATCTGTCAAATCGTGAATGTGAGGCAACGGGTAATGATCTGGAATGGTTTTTGCATTCAGTCGCCGATAATCACAAGTTGGACGCCAATCGTTGTCGTCCTTTAAGGGAACATGTGCAACAGAAATGACCATGGGCTGTTTGAAGGTCGTAGGATTCCTACGTCCATCGTGTGGACGAATTCGTTTTTGGCTAACCTAAGATTTTGGGGGGCGTGCTTTAGAGAATATAGGTGGTCCTGTAGTTGTGATGTGATGTGTAACGTTGCTGGTTACACACGGCAAGTTCGCTTGCGTTTGGTATATCCCAGAATACTTATCGAGTAGTGTTTGATAGAATGGGTCTATCGTGTGCTTAATTGTGACTGAAGATAATCTGGAACTGGAAAAAGAAGTTACACACACAAATAAATTAGTGTTACTATTTACTAGCCTCCGTTCGCGAGTATCGATGATTAGATTGTAGTGTTGTATGAGGTCTATACCAATGATTGGCATAGAAACATCTGCAACAACAAAGATCTAGTCAACGGGTTTGCGTAAACCCACGTTAAGGTAAACGTATCCTTTACCATATGTAGCGATAGGCTTTCCGTTTGCCGCCTGTATGTTCAAAACGAATTCGTGAAGCCGGCTCTTAGAATTTGTTGAAAGAACGTTGACGTCTGCGCCAGTGTCGATGAGGAAGCGAACACTCGTTGTCATGTCTGTGACGCATGACAGACAGCTATGTACGGTTGACGGCTTAAAAGTTTCCCGAATTGTTCTTCGTGTCAGTCGATTTTGAGCTGGGAAAATCGCAGGATTTTCTGCAATTTTTGGAGGACTTTTCATACGGATTATGATACCAGCACCAGGCGAGGTTATCCGTTTCCCGTGGTCTAGAGATAGATTGCCTACGTGAAGTGCTTCTTCGCGGGGTGTGTGACCGTTTTCAATCGTTACGAAATTTAAGATAACGCGTAGGTGTATTACATAACTCTGTTATGTCATTCTGGGTTGTTTGAGGCTTTTCTTTGACTGAAAAAACCTCGGCATTAGACGATTCCGTGATTTCTAGAATGCGGTTGACAGATGCAGTCAGCTCGTCTAAGGCGTTGTTGCGAAAGGAGATAAGCACAGCTTGCACCTGTTGATGAAGTTTGTATAAAAAAAGTTGCTTGAATAGGCCATCATCGAAAATTCTTTAGCGGATAACCTCTCTCCTTCCTTGCAACATGTATGTCGCAGAACCGTGTTGCATGTCGATGTTTTTAAGGAGTTGATCTAACCTTTGTCGGTCAGTTTGGTCTCCAGGTTTAATGATTAATCGTCTAAGTGTTTCGTAGGGTTCCGAAACATCATTAGTAAACACGCTAGGTGTTACGTATCTATTGAATTCGCGCGGTAGTGCCTTGACTACTGCGAGGAATTGTGCACGTGCATGTTTATTTTTCGTGCCTTAAAGTAACCTTCGTGCTATTGATAGAAGAAAACAGATAAGTAGTGAACAGGTCTTTATTTCGATCTTCGCGCAGTCAGAGTGGAGCGTGGGATTAGTTGTTCAGACAAACAAAGCCTCTCAACATTGAATATAAGATAATAGGAAATGTAACGCCTATGCAAAATAAGGGAGTGAATGAATACTTGACCTGTACTATTTTGGCATATGCATGGTTGTTTGAGGTCAACTCTTAACCAACCAACTTATGCAGTTACGTATTTTTCTAATGAATTATTTATGAATGAATATACTAACTGTAAGATCCATTTTGAATGCTTTGTGTGTTCGTGAAAATCCCTCCATGTATATACTTGCACTTTGTTCCTATTGATTCTTTTAGTCGTACAATGTTAACTTTTTGACTACAGTTGAATTGTTAATATTTGTATTTTATTATAGTTTTCGTTTTTACCACACCTTCACTAATTCCCTATGCTTCTTCCCGAACTGCACTTATGTTGTTTTACTTTATACTAAGTCTTGGCGGCAGCCATTTTGGTTTGTTCCTGTTTGTGATTGCTTGACCTGCGTTGACTGGGACTGTGCATTTTTGTTGTGAATTGAAGCACTCTTCCAGAATTGAAAACACTCTGGGTTATAGAGCGACCAAGTATTACCTTTTGAACGAATCTGTACGTGATCTATCCAGACAGGATAGAATAACATTTATTTGTGGTGATAGTTTAGAGTTGATCAATTAAACAATTATTGGTTGGATAGCTGAGTGGTTATATTTGTTTAGGTAATAATGTACACTTAAATTTATGATAAATTATAGAACCGCTATCTTACCCAATTACTTTGTTTTGGTTTCAATCGGGCGAGGGCGCGTATCTAACTCATCCAGACAGCTGTCCAGCAGTCCAAACGTAGTTTGGATCTTACAGTTCTAAACAAATATTTGGTCGAATTCGTTTGGCTTTCGTTTCGTTGATTCCAATCATCGTCTCTGGGAATATCTGGTCGTTCGCTTCCGATGCCAAACAATCGTCGAAGGAAATTAAGTCCAAGGCTTGTGGATGTTAAAAGAGATGAACAAAAGGATGGATCCCCTCAATCAAAGCAAGTGCCTTCTGATGCTTCTATGTGTCATGGTTCATATTCTAATAGGGACGATTGTAATTATAGTGAATCTAGTTGTGATATAATGTCAGATGGCATAGAAAACCTTAATTTAGACGTGAAGCAAGCAAAAGACGTAAGGCCGTCGGCGTTTTTCATAGGTCCAGAGTTACCAAAGGTTGAGTTAGGTTATTTCGACGGTCAACCAAGAGGTTACTGGAAGTTTTTAAGGGAGTTTGAGACCTATGTGGAATCAAGGGTCAAGGATGATGGTCAACGCTTGCTTTATTTGATACATTATTGTAAGGGTAAAGCGAAAACAGCCATTGAGGGTTGTGTTATGTTGGAAGCCTCTTTTGGTTACAAAAAGGCCAAAGAAATTCTAAAACGGTTGTTCGGACAGGCGCATGTAATCGCTCGGGAGACTTTAGAGGACTTATTCAAAACTACAAATGTTGATTACAGTGATCCTGAGCAACTAACAAATCTAGCTATTAGGATGGAAAATTGTTCTATGGTTTTGAAACAGATGAAGTATACTGCCGACTTAAATTCTTTAATTACCTTAGAGAGAATAGTAGGACTCTTACCTCAAGTTATGCAAGCCCAATGGGCGGACTGGGTAGATGAATTGACTGAAGATAATAGAGAACCAACCTTTGACGAGCTTACACAATTTATAGCATCCCGCGCGAGGGTAGCTAATAGTAGGTTTGGACGGTTAGCGAATCGTCCGAGAAAGGGACACAACGTAAAGACAAATTGTCACTTGCAATTGGAGCAGGCGAATAATTCGAAAGAGAAAGCTAAATGCAGTGTGTGTTCCCTAGACCATGCTATTTATAAATGTCCAAAATTTTTAGCGCTTACCGTTCAAGAGAGATGGTCTCACGCGAAGGTTAATGGCATCTGTTTTGTCTGCCTCAGGCAAGGGCATAAAGTTAGTGAATGTAAGCTGGCAAAACGTTG